TACCAAGAAGTATACCCTGTATACACTGTATACACTGTTGATTTCAGTGGGGTTTACTTTCAGGAGAATGTATATAGGATTGCAATAGTTAGGTAAAAGCTGTGAACAATATGAACAGAGAGATTGTGATAGCATATGCGAAATTGCTGTATAATATGTTACCTGTGTGTGCTAGGGACTTTGGCACATAGTTCATAATATGACGTACTTTGTTGGCAGCTTTTATTAATTTATCACTTTTAGAGAATTGAAACTTGCTGATAAGTAACTACAGCAAAAGGTTATGCGGAATTCAGACTAAGGTATATGAAATATGCCTATCTCCAGAAATGTGGTAGCTAGTTAAAGTACATTGCACAGAGAGTAAATATAGGAAGGTATTCATTTTGAAGGGGAAAATGCTAAATCAAGGAGATTGTTTTAAATTTTCTTGCAATAATTTCAGTAGTCTTAGATTTATCCACTCACACACTTTATGTTTCAATTTAAATGTGCTATTATTGTTCTCATACATTAGATAAGATGTATATAATGCTCTTAGATATTAACTCTTATGTTAACCTAGCTTTTCAGAATGAATGGGAAATATTTTTGCAAATATTTTTACCAGATGATTCTGAATAATAAAGAGAAATAGATTGTCATAAATATTTTTAAAAAGTAAATTAAAAGGTATAAATTGAAATTGGTATTAAAACTTTGTTGAAAATACAATGTTGTCATCCCTGTGTTATTAGCTTGCACATATTTTAGAAATGTAAGAAAATCAAAAATTTTAGTATGTGGTATTATATATTAGATTTTATATCCTACATGTCTCCTTAAAATGAGACTAAAAGATAGTATATTTTAAATAAACTCTGTGGTATAAACCTTGATGAATCCTAGTGAGATACAGTCATGGCCCAAAATATTGGCATCCTTGCAATTCTGTCAGAAAATGCAACCCTTCTCTCAGAAAATTGTTGCAGTTGCAAATGTTTTTGGTCCTCACATGTTCATTTCTTTGGTTTGTATTGGAACAACACAAAAACAGAGAGAAGAGAAGTCAAATCTGATACAGTGCCACACAGAAACCCCAAAATGCACTGGCCAAAATTGCATTTTGCTTTACATATTGCATTATTGGATACTTCTTATTTCTTTTGTTTAGTGCTCATTTAATGTATCTTTTAGCCCAATACTTAAATTGTGCTAATACAGAAATATATGAAATTGTATACAATATTTTGATAAAACTGATTTACTTCCGATTCAGAAAGATACAAAAATATGGTGGAATTCCATTGTTTGTTATTACTGTTGCTATTGTTTTCGTTATCATCATCATCAAAATTATTCGTGTCACATTTCTCCCCACAGGAGACAGCTCACAATGGATAAAATAAGAAATTTAAAAACACTATATAATTATCACATTTTAAAAAACAATTATACATTATGATTTTGAAAGTCAAGTATAAAATCAATTGAATAACATTTTAAAAACCAGCACTCCTGAGATAACGTACTGCGTAAAGGTCTGCCTGATGAGTAAGGTGTTTGCCTGACAATGGAAGGACAAGACAGAGGGGTGAACCTGACTTCTTGGGGCAGTGCATTCCAAAGCCTTGGAGCAGCCACTGAGAAGGCCCTGCCTTGTGTTCTTGCCAAGTGAGCTTGGGAAGGTGGTGGACCCAAGGAAAGGGTGCCCCCAGAAGAACCTCTGGAGCTGAGGCGCCACAGCACTCTCCAAGAACTTGCTCAAAAATGGAATATTGGAGACTGGCTGATAACTATCCATTACAGTGGGGTTCACGGAGGATGTTTTTAACAAAGGTCTTACTACTAAGACATTCTGGTACCTTACCTTGTTGCAAGGAGGCTTTCACACTCCTCTTACCTACTCTGCCAGTCCCACTGTGGCTGCTTTTATGAGCCAGGAAGGACAAATGTTAAGCATACATATGGTGGCTATTACCTCTCTGGAAATCTTGTTCACACAGTCAAGTTGCAGCAGCTGAAACATATGCATTATAACCAGACAAGCAGGGGCCAAAGTTACATCAACAGGACCTGCATCAACTTACACCATCTAAGTCAGAGATGCTCTGGGTTGGAAGGCAGATGAGGGAATAGGGATACTACCTGTGCTGGATGGAGTTACACTCTTTCTGAAAACTCAGGTCTGAAGCTTGGGTGTACTCCTGGATTCATCCCTAAGCTTGGTCATTACCTATAAAGCGGTATGCAGCTTGGGTCCAGGCTGCCTGAAGGTCTGTATCTCCCTTGACAATTATGATCAGTAGAGAAGGCCTTCTGCTCAGTCCCATAGCCAGCACAAGCACAGCTCATGGGGAGACGGAAGAGGGCCTTCTCTGTGGCAGCTCCCAGGCTATAGAACGCTCTCCCTCAGGAGATCAGGATGGCCCCTTCCCTGTTATCCTTCTGAAAAAAAGACCCATTTCTTCAGGCAAGTTTTTAACAGTTATAACGGAATTCCTGACCCCATTTTAGCAGATAATTTAAATCTTTTTTATGTTTTTATGTTTTAATCTTTTAATTGTATTTTAAATCATATATTATTTAATTTATCTTTTAATATTTAACTAATTGTCTTTTTAAATTGTGTGAATTTTAATGTTGTGAGCTGCTTTGGGTCCCTTGTTGCGAAAGATACGGCATATAAATAAAACTAATAAATAATAATAATAAGTCAGAGTGGATCCAGGCAACGTCCTCTGCAAAACACTGTGCAAAATGTAACAGGCCCTTGACAGCCTGAAAGAACTCTGATGGAAGACTGTGCAGATGCAGTAGTAGCAAAGAAAAATAACTTGGTTGTCACTACTGCCACAAAGTAGGTCTTCCAGTGGGCTCCACTGGTTCTTAACCTTGGGTTACTCAGGAGTTTTGGACTGCAACTCCCAGAAGCCTTCACCACCAACTGTGCTGGCTGGGGTTTCTGGGAGTTGCAGTTCAAAAACATCCGAGTAACAAAGGTTAAGAACCACTGGTCTAGCCCATGTTCAGTCATCTGCTCCGAGTTTTCTGCCATTGTTGCTCAATGGATCATAGTTTTTTTACACTTCTTAAAGAACTGTTTTGTGCTAGTGAAAATCAGAATAGTGTATCAAAATAGATGAATACAGTATTGTATCAAAATAGAAGGAGCCATCTGGCCAATGTTTCAACAACAGGTTTAAGAAGAAATGTGTGAGAGATGTGCAGTGTTGAGAGACCATTTTCATAGTTTCCAAATGCCTGCCTGCCTGCCTGCCTGCCTACCTAATCTAGTGATCAGGTTGAGAAATCAACTGAAGGGTCAGCTATGTTGACTGTTAACCTTGCAATTTGTTGGCATGGAAGGAATGTAAATTGGTGCTACATATGTAAAGCTTAGTGCAGTCAAGTCAATGGCAAACTATCTTTTGTACAGCTGGCAGATGTGATGTAATTTTACACTGATTCATTGGCATGGCTTTTCTCAACTTTTTGCCCTATGTGATCACCTGCTCAGATGCAAAGGGGCACTCACATAGCCTGTTGTCTCCAAACTGTTTTTTTCCCCTTTTAATAGTTTCCAAAATCAGTGCTGATTCAGATAAGTGCTGTCATGGGGGAGGGGGGAGGGGCTGAAGAGAACTAGCGGTCCTGGCAGCAGTTCTCATTTGGCACCTTGTCAGATCAAAGGCAGCTTGTGCTGTTGGAACACTTTGCAAACAGAACATTTACAGCTTTCTCTATTGTCTGGTTAGCTACAATGGTTTCATAGGGACCTGAAAAACTGTGGATCAAAGTGTTTTTCTCCTATTGCAGTTACACTCTGAGAGTTTAAAAAATAGGAAATTTTGTATTTCTATAAAAATTTGAATTTGGGATAATCTTAATGTTTATGTAACATTTAAGGTTTAATTTGACAAAATATAGATATACTTTTCTATAAGATTATTTGGAAAAAAGTTTGGGGATAATTTTTGACTTAAGGGGATTGAAAGGATGATGAAAAATTGGAGATTTGCTTCAAAGCTCCAGTGATCTAGTTTTCATTTATTTTTTTAAACCTGTTAAAATAAGCACAGGTGATAGTAAAACAAAAAGAAGTATGTTCACTTGCTACTGAATATGTTAATTTCCCGTCATATTCCAAAAACTTTCAAGTTTCTCTCCCTCCGCAATTGCTCCTTCCTGTTTGAAACAGTGGAAGAGAGAAACCTGCCGTTTCCCATCTCCTCTATACTTTTAGATGACTGAGCAGATAAGCTTAGTTTCACTTTGTACAAAATTCATCTGTTCATTCATTCATCCATCCATCAATCTGTTTTTTTATATCCCATTTTAGTAGCAAAATGAATCAATCATAGCAAGAATGATCGGAGATTAGCCCCTTGCCTTCAAGTTTTCAGGTGAACAATGGAGTAAAGTCTCTGAAGGCATATGCTAGTTGAAACTTCTTGATATTTAAGATGTTACCAGACTATTGTTTTTGCTGCAGCAGATCTGCAGACTAACTCAACTAGTCCCTCCTGAAACTCCTCTTCAGTGTTCCCTCCAGTTTTACAGAAAATCTGGAAGAGGAGCTGACTCCTTTTGCTGACCTGCTCTGATGGCTTGGATTTGTGAAGCCTTGGCAATTATGTTGTGACAACAAACTGTTAATATTTAAGACTGGTCTCTGCACCTTCAAGCCTAATTTCTAATGTCTCTTTTGATTTGTATCATACTGGTAAAGGTACTTGCTTTATGTAAGCATTTGCTGAAATCTATTCCATAGCAAAGTACATTGAAGTCTTGTTGACATCAAATATTCAATCTTGTAGCTGTGCTGAAGCTGGTTTTGGGAGCCAGGAGAGTTGAAAAGTTCACTCTTCTGAACACCTGGTGGTGTTAGTTTGTTTATTTTTAAAGTTTATCAATGTCTTCTGAAGGATTGTGCTTGCTCCTGTAAAATGATAGTGTGATCTACAGTCCATACACGTTCTGTCTTGATGTGACATGCTTTGCTTTATTTTTATTTGCAGGTCAACGGTGTTAAGAGGAAAAAGACTACTGCAAAAGTAACAGCCAGGTAATAAGTAGAATGTTTCTTGTTCATGTTGGATTATTGTAAACCGTAGCATTATTAAATGTTCTTAGTATTTCTAAGTCTGAATGATTGAAATCCTGTTGCCACAGAAAGAGGACTTAACTCACTAAATCCCTGTTGATTCAGTGGCTCTATTCTAGTATGATATATGGTGCTAAACAACAGGATTTAGACCACTAGAATCAGAGTGATAGTATTAGGTGATAAAGCCAATGGTCCAGCCAGAAATTCTGGTCCTCTTAGGCAAATGTTCCTTGACATTGGATCTGTTGCAAGTGTGGCAAATAATGCTAAAGACTTTGCAAAACAACACAGTGTGTCCAAATCCCCATTTACAATGTGCCACCTTGAGATATCATAAATTATTGAATCGGAATATCTGTGGTTCCTGAAATTCAGTATGTGATTAAAACATTAAATTTAAGTATATTTTAAAAAGCCTTTAAAATGTTCCAAAATTTTTTACTTGCTGTGCCTGACATTACCTGCTCAAGGCCCCGCTCTATATCTACTTTGCCACACTACTCCCCTTTTCTGTCCTGGGGTGGGTGAGCCCAGGGAGGCCTTACATGTGGTGAAGGCTATGGAACCTGACTGGAACCCTGTTACTCCCACACATTACTGTCTATTCAGATTTGTCAGTGCTTCCAGGCCAGGTAGTTCAAATCATAATCCACAAGGCTAGGACCTGAGATGCAAAGTGTTCCTCTTCAAGCATAGACCCACTACACCCACACAAGCACCAAAAATCCCAGTAACTTGGTGAAAACTAGACATGGTTTTAGCACCACAAATATCTAAGCTTGAAATCCAGAAAGCTGTTTGAAGGGATTTGTATTTTATTTTAAAAGGAGGAGCAGGTTTAAAGGGGGGGAGAGGCAAACATTCCAAAAAGTTTCAAAAAGGTTTCTCCAGATACTGGAGCAAAATACAGAGACAGTCGTATGACCATTCAGAAGAAACATCCAGAAAACAATAGAGGCTAAACTTATCTACCTAATATTCACACCTCAGTGGAGAGCAACATAGTTCTGATACATGCACAGAGTGAAACTTTCCCAACATGGCTTTGTAGAGCAGCAAACTGATACAGTCTCTTTCTTCTAATAAGACTGAGCCATCTAATCAGTTTTCCTAATCCCTTTTACACATTAAACTCCAGACCTCTTGTAATCAACAGCTTAATCCTATTTCATGTTTACCCCAGACAAACTTCTTCCCTTCTTCCTTTCCCACAGCTGTAATTTGCATGACCCTAAGAAAGGAAATGGAAAGGCTTTTGAAGTCAGTAGATAAGGTGGAAGTGCTAGATCCCTTTTAGTGCTGCTTTGATGTACCCTTAGGGAGGAACTCAATTGAGGGTGTCAGTTGTCCTGTAGTTCCCTCTCAGACATTTTTTGAGGTCCTCTTTAATAGGATGTCAATTGAAGGTGTTAATTTTTGTTTGGGGCATCCACTGACTCACCTTTCCAGCCAACTTTCTCAATCAGTCACAGAGAAGACTTGAAGGTTATAGTAGATGGATTCTATGTCCCATGCTCCTCAGTTTCTCTATCTTCACATCATGTATAATTTTCTCATACAATCTAGGTCCCTACATACAAAGTCTTACAATAAAACATGATTAATAAACTGCAATTTAAAAATTGTATGCCTCCTGCGAAGTGGACGAATTTAAACTTTTAATGTCATGTGCAAAATTTTGAATTCTTATTTGTATTTTTGCTCTAGTCACAGTGAAAACAGGATATGATAATAGTTTCATATCCTCAGGAGAGAAAATGAACACTGTTTTCATAGTTGTTTCTGTATATTTTCCTTTTTCCTGTTGATCACTAGAAACTCTAATATGAGAATCTCTCTTTTGTCAAAGTATTCCAATACTGTTCCTTATTTGTTCGTTTAAAATATTTATACTCTACTGTTCTTACTGAGGTAAGTCTCAAGCTGGCTAACAATATACAATGAGGAAAGTACAGTATGCAAACAATATTATAAATATTTACAATATTGAAAAACAATTGAAGAAATATCATATTAAAATTAATTGATGAAATCAATTAAAACCATTTTAAAACCCCATTAAAACAGCAGCCCTGTTTTTAAGAACGTACTGAGTCCATTTTAAGGTAGCATTTTAGGCAGCAATTATTGAGAAAAGACCCACATGAATAGAAAGATATTTGCCTGCTTGTGTAAGGACAACAAAGAGGTGGGCAGCCCCCCTCTCCAATCTGAGAGAGTTCTGCAGCTTGGAAACAGCAAGCGAGAAGGCCCTCTCTCAACTCCTGACCAAATTAACCTGTAAGGGTAGCAAGATAGAAAGAAAGGCTTTGCTTGATGATTTTAATACCAAGGCAAGCTCATAAAGAGAGATGTGGTCTTTCAGGTAACTTGGACCCAAGTAATTTAATGTGCAAGAAAATAGTTTTTTTTCCATCTGCTTTCACTTTTCTCACACACTTCAGTGCTGATTTTTTCTAAAACAATTGTATAGTTTACTGTAACCTTGAAAACTTGGAGCATTGCCCAGTTGCAGGTGCAAACAGTATTTTCCAGGTCAGTTGTAATCTACACATAAATATGAACTCAATGTGTATGAATGTATGGCAGTTGTAGAATAAAATAGTGTCTCTGTAACAAAAAGCTTATCTTAACTCTCTGAATTAAATTTAGTTAAATCTAGCATTTAAATTTATTAGCTCATTTAAAAAAGCCAGTTGACCTTCAGTTTTTCCGAGCCTTATCTAGCCTCAGGGAGGTCCTAATCTGTAAAGGATCTGGGGGATGTTTCCAGTTTATATTCCCAGTGAAGAAGATGAGGAAGATTATGACAACTTCCTGCTATTATCTCTAATCAGGAAGGTGAGTAGGGCAAGAAGGGATTTTCCTCATGCAAAATAAGGAACCGAGTTCTTTAATTCTCTCTCTTTCTATGAATGGAGAAAGTAAAAAATGGGAAAGGAGGAGGAGTTTAGGCCCAATTATTGTTATGGCAGGGGATAGGGCTTCAGCAGTTCCCTAAGGAGCCTTGTTTATAAACTTCAAAGCAGTATCGCTTTCCTGTCCAGTCAGAGTTAAAATAAGTGATTTCTCTTGTTTCCCTGGGCCAATTTGCAGTTCTTTATAAGTGCGCAGCAAATTGGGAGGAACATAGAACAAATAGTAAGAAATCTGACTAAGAAACCATTATGGATAACAATTTTGCATTCATAATATTTAAATGTTTATATAAGCCTTAAATGTAATGGCTAAAATCTTGTTATGTAGTTACATGTGCATAATAACAAGCTGTAGAACCAGTAGAAGAAAATGGAATGGTAGAAATCATATTCATTAATCATTTCTGTGGGCATGTGATGTGAAACTTGCACAATTGTGATCAGGAACCATGCAGTCTTTTGCAGAACTGTGACTTCAACCACACAGCCACCTGAGCATAAGGCTAGGCACAGTGTAGGCATAATTTATGTTACACCAACTTGAATAGGATTTTCAACCAATGTTTTTAAAATAAAATTTCTATATTATTAGAATTTTTCAGAATATAAATTTGTACATATCAATACTTTTTCTATATGAGAATTGTACTGAATGTACTATTATGTGAAATAAGGAGAAGCTTGCTGGAAATTATTCTTTTCCCTTGATCATAGCTACACTTCCCAATAAAAATGAAAATCTGTATTGGAGTTCAGTATGAAATATAGATAGGCTAGCGAATGCAAAATTAAATTGAGATGGTATTTATATAGAATCCCAGATTTGGAACTGAGGTTTCTCCGTTTATTCTCCTTTAGGTTGATGTTCCACGTAATGAGCTGATAGACTGAAAAACACTGAGTTACTTTAATGAACTAAACTGAAAAATGTAAGAAAGAGTTGCAAATCTTAATGCTTTTCAGTAGCAAACAGGTGGCCTCCCATCATTGACTGGCCATGCTGTTTTACCAAGACTGCAGTTCTAAGATTACGTGCGCTCAGATCATTTTCCAGGACCATTTTCATCGCATAGATTCTGCTTCTTGCCCCTTTACTAGACATCATTTAACTATTTATTTATTTATTTATATCCCACCCATTTAGACTCAAGTCTACTCTGGATGGCTAACAAAAATAGCATAAAAGCAATATAATAAAATAGAGAACAACAATAATAATATTGTTCAAGATGGGGAAAAGATAAAAATAATTAAGTGATAACAGGAGGGTAAGCCTGCCTAAAGAGCCAGGTTTTAAATTGGCTCTTAAAAACACCCAGCGAGGCAGCCAGACAGATCTCTGAAGGGAGACTGTTCCAAAGGTGAGGGGCCACTGCTGAGAAGGCCCCTCAGCCGCCCTTCCTGGCTAAAAGAGTGATTCGAGTGGATCTAGGTGGGAGGAGACATTCCACTAAATATCGTGGTCCTAAACCGTTTAGGGCTTTATATGTCATCATTAACACTTTGAGATCAATGCGGAAATGAATGGGCAACCAATGCAAGGCAGCCAGAGTGGGAGAAATATGCTGATATTTTCTCGTCCCACTGAGAAGTCTAGCCACTGCATTCTGCACGATTTGAAGCTTCCGCAACAGTCTCAAAGGTAGCCCCATGTAGAGCGCATTGCAGTAGTCTAATCTCGAGATTACAAGCACCTGGGCCAAAGTGGTGAGCACCCCAAAATCAAGATAGGGATGCAGCTGGGCAATCCGCCAGTGATGGAAATAGGCGGAGCGGACCACTGATGCCACCTGGATTTCCATAGTGAGCGCCGGATCCAGATGGACCCCCAAGCTGTGAACCTCACTCTTCATGGTGAAAGTCACTCCCCCAAAAGAAAGGGAGTTTCCTAAACCACCAATGGAGGGCCCACCCACCCTCAGGACCTCTGTCTTGTCCATTCCATCTTGTTCATTCACAATGAATGGTGAATTGAAAAACCATCTAAATAGCAAGAGGAGGTTGTGAAACTGATTTGATCACTTTGAAAAATGAGGTGGTATATAGAGACCAGGGGATGAGAGGAATTCTAGTGCTGCAGGAATGACATCACTGAGAGATCAGATTGCAGTTAATTAAATAGTTCCTGCTTTGACTTCACATTTGCTATGTGTACACAATAAGATGCAGTTACCCACAACTTGAAATCTAAGCAGGAACTCTTTCAATAAGGGTAATCTGACTTTGACGTAACTTCTGTTCCATTGATGTGATCTCTCAGAATTGGAATGGGATACTCTTTCCCCTTACTGTTCCACATGTACCCACCACAGCCAGATCTGGAAGGCTGAAAACCCTCCAAAACAATTTTTTGGTTGCATGGAGGGCAGTGGGGGTGGAGAGTTTTTCCTGACTTCCCATCAGAATATTGGATCCCAGCAGAATATTGGATTAAGCCCAAAAGTACCAAATTAATTAAGCAAGTAAGGTTTTAAAATCAGTACAAGAACCTCCACATAACTTAGCAGATGCTATCTTAGAAAAAGTTCCCCTTGACAATCTCATTTACTATGTATATTTTCTTCAGAAAAAAAGTGTTATTTATTTGAAAATTTGAGTAGATTTAGTAGATATATTAAATTCTTACAATTAATGACCTTTCTTTAGCTTTGTGACAGCTTTAGAGAAGTTGTTCTTAGAACTGATGCTTGCCTTTAGTACACTTCATACCATCTCAATGTCCCACAGATATCTAAACATAGGGAGCCATTTTCTAGACTAATTAATAATGAACCTTTAGAAGACAAATCCTATGCTTTTTAATTTATCAAATAGCTGATACTTTTGTAGTGTCTGTAGAATGTTAAATTACTCCTCCCTACTCATCTTTATCTCACCAACTATGCCTCCTCTTTCTAATACTATATGCTGGCATGCAGCCATTTTCTGGCAACAGATAAATTTCCATATCACTTTCCCTGTCAGATTCCTGGGCCATGAGATAAAACAGTTTACTACAACACAAAAAGGAGAAGATTACAGTTAATGTAAAGTTTCTGATTGCACTCATGGGTAAGAAAAACCTGGCAGTTACTTTGAAAAAGAATTATGCAAAAGTGAATTGTTCTGGTCTTAGTTGAAATGGATCATGTTTTTCATTTACATTCTGGGGGCCTTTTTCAAGGTAAGGAGCTTAAACTGTACTTTCCTATTCCGTTTAAATGTATAAGGGCAGCGTGTCAGAGAAGAAATAGATAATTGTGTGACAGTTGTATGTTGAGAGATACTGAGATATGGGCTTTTAAAATCCCTTCACAGGGTACTAGTAGTTACCCTGCAGATGCTAACTTCATGTAGATAAATGTCTTGATAATTGTTACTGGTCATAGTTATTTAATTTAGTGTATTTACTTTTGCCATATATGTGGGGAAAGTTACATGTATAAGGCTAACATGCAAGATTTCTGGACTTAGGTTTGGAATGGACCAAAGCATATTATTATAATAACTAATTTTACCTTATGTCTGAGTGGCTCTCTTAGCCCTTACCCATATTCACTTTGGTTCTTATAAATTTATTAAATCTTTGGAAACAAAGGATCATCATTGGGGAACTAAATTTCCTCCCTGTGTTTCATAAGTCTGTTGCTTTTAATCAATGAAGTTGTGAACTGCATCAGCTGAAGTTCTGAATTCTCAGTACATTAAAATATATCAGCTGTTGACATCATTTTTTGCAAACCAGAATGTCAAGATGTTTTGTCAATCTCATTTTGTATATTTTAATAACCTGAGAATTTTCAGGTGTCTGTGGTGGAATAAACCCTCATCTGTTGCAAAAAAGTGGCCTTAAGTTTAATATTTGTATAAGTGAAATATACTGACATGAAAGTTGAAACTGATGCCAGTTTAAGTCAGCTGTTGACATCATTTTTTGCAAACCAGAATGTCAAGATGTTTTGTCAATCTCATTTTGTATATTTTAATAACCTGAGAATTTTCAGGTGTCTGTGGTGGAATAAACCCTCATCTGTTGCAAAAAAGTGGCCTTAAGTTTAATATTTGTATAAGTGAAATATACTGACATGAAAGTTGAAACTGATGCCAGTTTTGTAAGCATTGTTCAGCAGATTAAGTCACTTAATAGCTGGATGCATCACGGTGTCTGTGGGGTTTTTTTTCTGCAGAAAAATGCATTTTTTTCCACCAAGTTCCTTCTTTTCTTCTACTGGTCTCATATTGTAGAAAAAGGAATATAGTGGTGCCTCCACTTAAAACCATAATCTATTCCAGAAGATGGGCGTAACTTGAAATGGTCATAAGTTGAAGCATCATTTCCCATAGGAATGCATTATTCCAGCCGAAGAAAAAAATCACCAAAAAAAAATCCCTGCAAGACTAATTGGAAACATGATTAATCCCTTCCGGCCGAAGGGGAAAAGAAAAAAGAAAAGCAATCAGACGTGCAAGACCCATTGGTAATGCACAGAAAACAAATGAGCAGATTGGAAAGGCACAGAGAACAAAGGGGGCAGGTCAGAAATGCAAAGAAAATAAAGGAAAAAGCAAGGGAAGCATGCAGGACCTATCAGAAATGGGGGGAAACCCCAAAAAGCAACTAAACCCCCCAAGACCGATTGGAAATGGGGGAAAACCCCAAAAGCAACCAAATACCCCAAGACCCATCGGAAATGAGGGGGACAACAAAACAAACAAACCCCCCAAAACACATCACAGCACAGAAACATAACCACCCCCAGCTCAAAACCATGCTCCAAAAACACCCAGAACAGTTTTTAAAAAGCATAAAACAGCACCTTACCTTACAAGGCAGCCCAAAACCTCCCTGCAAACGCACGCACACGCTCTCAGAAGCAGAAGGAGGCAGTCCCATGCCTCCGACGATGACATGCACTCTAACTGCTGGGGCAAAAGAGCTACAAAGAAGCAGCCTTGTCAACACCTACAGTTAGAAATTTGAATTTCCCATCTTTTCCCCCTGACTTTTTCTGTTCATAAGTGGAAGCTCTGGTCACAAGTAGAAGCAAAATTTTGCAACTGGAGTTGGTCGTAACTCGAAGTGGTCATAAATAGCGACATTCGTAACTTGAGGCACCACTGTACTGAATTAATAGGAATGACTTGATTGCCCTGTGTCATAGGTCAAAACTAGAGATGGGCGTATTCGTATACAAATATGAATATCCCTGCACAGGTGGCGTTAACAAGGGTGCAGCCCTATGGGGCTGGACGGTCCACTCAGCGATCCAACATGGATGGTGTGATTCTACCAATGGCTCCGCAGAGTGTGGTCCGCTCACCACTCTTCAACCTTGCAGCAAGGCTTGTCCTCCCACCTCCTGCCAGGATTGGCAAGCAAATCGTGCGCTGTGGAGCCATTGATAGAATCATGTGGTCTGCATCCGCGGCAGATCAGTGAGTGGACCATCTAGCCCCATGGGGCTGGACCCTTGTTAATGTCACCTGTGTGGGGATAGTCATATATGAATACAAATACCCGCATCTCTAGTCATAACGTTTTGTCTTTAGCAATGGATTCTTAAAATTGAAAGATTTTTTTTATATAAATACAATTGTTTGTTTAAGTGAAGGAACCAGCAACTTCTGGCACAGTATAGCATTTTATTTATTTATTTATTTATTTATTTATTTATTTATTTATTTATTTATTGATTTATTTATTTATTTATTTATTTATTTTGGCCTGGCTGCATTATGACTGGGTAAATTGGACCTTTCAACAAAACGGGTAGTTCCTACTCAGTTTACTGAGAAAATAAATGCCTCTCTTTGTTTACAGCTTAGCTATAGATATGTGGTGGTTTCTCCTGATCTAGAGCTCTAGTGTGCTTACAGATGGAAACTTCAAATAGTCAGTGAAAGACATATATAGTAGAAGAGTAAAACATTGGGTATGCTGTGTGGCTTTTATGACACAAAGGTTTGAATTCATGATCGAGTTCCGTTGATTCAGGTTAGAGCCAGTTCAGCCAATACAGGTTAGAGCCAATGTCTTCTGCATGTTTTGAAATTCTTGATTAATAATAATGTGTTAATTCCTGACTCATTGCTTGCTGAGAGGGTCACTAGTTAGGAATGATTGCTCTGCAGTGCTTCAACAACCTCATTTATCCATATCTTTGCCCTTATGATCCCAGATGGTCTCCTAGGCCACACTGACCCATAGTGATTCCAGATCTACATTTTATACAAGAAAGACAGGTTACTTACCTGTAACCATGGTTCTTCAAGTGGACCTCTGTGAATTCACACAAAAGAGTTAAACAGTGCCTGCGCTGGTCTTGGAATCTTCTAGAGCTTTTCTGGAAAAGTAACCAGGTTTAGAATTGCCCCTATCACACATGCTCCAGCCACCTCAGCCTCCAGTTCCATTTATCCACCACCATAGCCTGAGCTCAGCACATGTATAACAAGTGATGGATAGTGGGGAGGCTGGGTGGGATGTGTGAATTCACAGAGGTCCACTGGAAGAACCATGGTTACAGGTAAGTAACCTGTCTGTCTTCTTTGTGGCCTCTGTAAATGCACACAAATGGGTTAAACAGCGCCTGCACTGATCTACTCAGTAAAATGGAACTATGGCCTCAACAACGTCGACATTGCCACATGCTCAACTGAAGATGTGTTCTCTGCAAGCATGGCTCCTACACGTATTCAATCCGCTTCGAGACGACTCAGGAAAGAAATTGCTAGTTACCCCAGAACTAGCACACCAACTGCAATGGAGGCTGAGGTGGCTGGAGCATGTGTGGTAGGAGCAATACTAAACTTCTTCCAAGAAGACCAGTGCAGGCGCTGTTTAATCCCCTCCTGCCTTAGACGACCTAAATTTTCAGTGACATCGACCAGGAAAGATCACAACCACTCATCTTTTCCAGAAGATGAGTCTCCCTGGGAAGAGTATTTGAAAAACTAGGTGCCCACACTGAAATGATTCTCTGATCATTTCCATCTCAACCCTGAACAACTCAGAGGAAGACTCGAATATCTGGGAATGTTCATGTGGGAGTAAGTGATCCTTAAAAACACTTTGGTACAAAGCCAGTGTTAATTGTATATTTTGGCTGAGATAGCGTGCAATTTCATTAGACCTATTTTGTTATTTGGCAACTTACGACAGACTGGGTGGAGTGCTCTAGTCCTACCTCCACTTTTTCCCTTGTCATTGTTCTATACCAGTGGTTCCCAGAAACCCCAGCTGTAATGCCCGGTGTTTCTGGAGTTACAGTCCAAGAACACCTGGGTTACCCAAGATTGGGAACCACTGTTTAGCACAAGTCCTTGTTTTCTTCAGACTTGTCACGAGGGAGTGACAGTTCTGAAGAGGGATGCCTCTGCTATATGGGAACTCTCCAAGTGAGTTGGAATGCTGATTTTGAGGTTCTCACTTCACATGGAAAGACCCTATGGACATAAAAGGATCTCTGATTTAGACTCATCACTCTCTCTATATAGGGGAGCTACAATACTGGAAGCAGAGAAAGAGGCAAGGCTGGAATACCCTTCCTTACCTATGGTAACAAAACGCCATTTCCTAGCAACTGAACTGGGCTGTTTCTATCTGCGGATGGCAACAGCTGCAAATGTTTCCTGTCTTTTAACGTGAGAGATGGAAATATTATAACTGATCTTTTTCTTAATGCTTACTCAGCAGCAGACCATGGTCCCTCTCACTAGTCATTTTCCTTGGGTGTAATCTTGCTTTTCTTGAGAGGTCTGTATAGACAGTCAACTGTTTCATATTGGACCTGTGGAAATTAGAAACAGAATGAGTCTGCGCTAGATAGGACTTGATGACCTTGTAGGCCCCTTCCAACTTCATGGTTCTATGTTTCTATTGTGTAACAGAAGTTTTTTATCCATCCTGGATATGAGTGGGGATGTCAGAAATGTTTACAACTAGTTCAAACAATACGTTGTCTATGTGACAGTCCATTACTTGCACAGGGTCCACAGATGAACTTAACACAAACTACCCAATTCTCCAAATTCTCCCCTGGCAATGAATCTCAGGATTGGCACTGTGAACT